TTTTGGGTAAATATGGAAGTTCATTTCTATAATATTTGGTTGATAAAAGATTTAAATTGCACCTCTTAAAATAAGTAATCCGTGCAATCCTATTATAAAGTATTCAAAGTTTGAGACCTTTTGGAATACCACTTATTAAAATTCAATTTCTTGAATAAAGGCTGAAACTTTATTCAAATGGAGAAAATGTGAAATTAAATAGGGTGCCAAATTTGATTTATATAAACAAATATAGTTCAAAGACTACCAAAAAACTGTACTGATATGATGCATATCCAAATTAGTGAACTTACCCTAAAAATGATAGAATCTTAAATAGTTAATTTACCAACTAATAATCAAATGAAAGGTGTATTATTAATTTCAACTTATAATAAATATATCGTTTGTACCCTTAATTTCCGTGTCAAGAAATTGAAACCAACCATTCAACTTCGTGCAGCACCCGTCTTATTCTGAAAACAGAAATATTTGAAACATAAACAGATTCTTTCACCAAATCTCGTCTTTTTTTTTTTTTCAAATGATCAACTATGAAAGCTATTTTTCTCAACTTTTCTTTTTGTCAACCATAATTCGTCTTTTTTATTTGTCAACCAATAAATTCTCTTTTACTATTCATGTAAAGCAAAGTTGTAATTCTCACTAATTATCCACTACAACCAGCTAATCAATTTTTCTAGTGACATAGGTACAAAAATAAATAAGAAAACAATGAAAAGTAGATAATTTTGATTACAGCCGAAAACGGGTATTAAAATGGGATCTAAAGTTGAGCAAATTATTGTGTAATTCGGTTTAATGTTAGGCGCGTAAACTTATACCAAGATTTATTAAAAAAAATATAACGAAATATGATTAACAAGTAACAACAACCTTTTAGAATAATGGACGATTTTGAAACTGTGGCCACTCGTTAACTATCATGTTATTCCAAAATTGGAAGTACTACTATAAACAAACAACGTTAGCACACCCAACAATATTCCAACAAGACAAGAAAATATAATTTCTTATAAATATACAATCCAATATTACTTACCCTTAAATTTTCATATTAATGCAATATTTATTAACAAAATATTAACATTTTATTTGATTTTTTTTAATTAAATATTGAACTCTCCTTGACATTGGTCTCTTGCTTTTTGAGTCTCGAGTCTTTGGCTCCCATACCCCCACTCCCCACTCACCTTCTTCATTTTTCTTTTTCCTTTTTACAGCTCATTAACAAGTACAAAGTTGCACAAATGCTCAGCTGTGGAAATTATTTCGAGGGCTCATTTAAAGCTCTTGGATCTTTAATAATTCCCATTCATGGTGTGAATTTTTGACTGAATTATGCCGTTGCAAACGCTGCTGCTGCTCTTTGTGAGTGTGTGTCAGTTAGAGTTCTCTTTCTCTGCTGCATTCAGTGTCAATTTTGGTGGAAAAAGATCAGATTTTGACTCGCGCCCAGCTCATCATTCTCGATTAAATCTGTAATTTTTGCATTCCTGAGTCGAGAATTTTATCTGNTTACTGGCAGATCTGAGTGTGTGAGTTCTTACTTGAGCCTGTGGTGGTAATGTAGTGTTCTTGTGCTCGTAAGAAAGGTGAAATTGAGATTGAATGTACTTATTTGCTGCATTTGGTGCAATTTGAGGCAGGCTGTAAATTTTTTGTGAGGCTTTTCCATTTTAGTGTCAATTTTATTTTGGTGATGCAAGATGGGAATATTTGTTATTATTCTGAAGAGAAATTGGATTTGGGTTGCTGAACAACTATCTAACTGTACATTTTTACTTGAACAACTATCCAAAGGCACATTTTTTACCTTTCTTATTGAAATTTTTTATAGTTTTCTTTCCAATTTTCATGTTTTTTTCTTTTCATCCCCTTTTTAAAGAAAATGAAGAAGTTTGGAAGGAAAATTGTATGGAGACTGGAGCTTGTCAAGTTATGTTGTTACTGCAAAATTGGGCCTTTTTTTTTTCCTTCCTGTTGTTTTCTCCTTTTCATTCTGATCTTCTTGGATTGAAGAAGTGGAATTAACTCTGTGATGGGTGGATAAGGTAGAAAATAAATTTGTTGCCTGTTTTTGTTTGATACTGAAATTCATTCTGCATCTGAAATTTTTAGGTTGATCATGAATTGTGCTCCTTTTACTTTTCTTCTTTTCCTCCTTTTTCTAATTTACCTCCTCATAAGGAGCTTTTATCCACTTTCTTGCAAGTTAAGCATTTTGGATAAATCTAGATGAGCTAGAACCTAGACCATTATCCGAAAAGGTCACATGCCTTTGTCCTTTTTTTCTTTGGACTGCATCTTTTTCTTTAACTGTCTGTATGTGTTTGTGTGTGTCTTTGTTGTCTTTTGGCTTTTGTTTTCCCCTTTCCTCTTGTGTTCCCTTTTCTGCTGCACTGAAACTTGTTTGTACTGCAGCTGCCAAGAATTTACTTTCGTATTCGTTAGTCACTTAGAGTGTAGTGAGGATCTAAAATCGTAGCACCTGATTTCTAGTTCATGAAATTCATTACTTCAGTGAAAAAAATGTTCTTGCAACATTGATCACATCCAATAATGTAGCTTCTCATAAATCCTTCTTTCAGTTTGAAGCATTTTCATCTACTTGTCAGACAGATGCTTTTATTACCTGTGTATCATTTCCATCAAAATCCAAAGATTTCATTGCTCTCCTTAAGTGAATGCACAATAACTCAACATTCTTCCAACAATAAAATCATTTGTTTTTCTCCGATTAACAAGCAAATTTTGCTATATATCCTCAGGAAAGCTGCGGCCCTTGCCTTACTGTATTGCCTATGGAAGAACAATCCTACTCTCCTCTCTCCTCGTCATCCTCAATCTTTTGCCTGCCGTGCATTCCGACTTAACCTCGGACAAAAATGCCCTTCTCGCATTCTCAAACTCCGTGCCCCACAGCCCCAAACTCAACTGGGACCCGAATTCCCCCATCTGCACCTCATGGACTGGGATCAACTGCAGCTCCAACGGCCAGGATGTAATCGGGCTCCGCCTCCCGGGCGTTGGGCTCACCGGGCCCATCCCAAACGGCACTCTCGGGAGGCTGCATTCTCTAAGAGTCCTCAGCCTTCGGTCCAATCGGCTCGGTGGGCCCATCCCGCCAGACATCCTCTCTCTTCCCTCCCTCAACTACCTTTTCCTCCAGAACAACAACTTCTCCGGAGAGATCTCTCAATCCCTCCTCCCCCGCCAGCTCAGCGTCCTCGACCTCTCGTTCAACTCCTTCACCGGAAATATCCCGCTGGCCGTTCGGGACCTGACCCGATTAACGTCCCTCAGCCTACAGAACAATTCCTTCTCCGGGCCCATCCCAGACCTCAGCCGGACCCGCCTCAGGCGTCTAAATCTGAGTTCCAATAATCTCGTCGGCCCAATACCGTCTTCTTTGCAGAACTTTCCGGATTCTTCATTTCTTGGGAACTCTCTATGCGGGCCCCCCTTGAATCCGTGCCGGGTAGCTCTTCCGCCTTCGTCTTCCCCGGCCCCCACGCGGCCACCTCGAGAGAGCTCGGCCATAAGGAGACTCTCGCGCGGGATTATAATAGCAATTGCGGTTGGTGGATTCGTGATCTTGCTTATTCTTCTCTCTCTGTTTATATTCTTGTGCTGCTTTTGGAGGAAAAGGGACGGTAAAAATCGGGGGTCCCCGAAAGTGAAGACCTCGGGTGTCGGGAGGAGTGAGAAGAAGCCGAGCGAGGAGTTCGGGAGCGGGATCCAAGAGCCCGAGAGGAACAAGCTCGTGTTTTTCGAGGGGTGCTCATATAATTTCGACTTGGAGGATCTGCTGAGGGCTTCGGCCGAGGTTCTGGGGAAGGGTAGTTTCGGAACGGCGTATAAGGCAGTTCTGGAGGAGTCGACCACTGTAGTGGTCAAGAGGCTCAAGGAAGTTATTGTCGGGAAAAGGGACTTCGAGCAGCAAATGGAGACGGTGGGGAGGGTCGGGCTGCACCCGAACCTAGTGCCTCTGAGGGCTTATTACTATTCCAAGGACGAGAAGCTCCTCGTGTACGATTATTACCCGAACGGTAGCTTGGCGAGTCTATTGCACGGTATGATGACAAAATGCTTTTGTTGACTGAAAAAAGATTCAATCTTTATTGAAGAAGTATATCATGAAGGCAATTAACATGACAATGCAATGAACTCTGTATATCTTGATATAGAATAGGCCAAATCTCACACTAAACTCACAAATCCCAAAACCCCATTGAAAAAGATTCAATCTTTATTGAAGAAGTATATCATGAAGGCAATTAACATGACAAATGACAATGAACTCTGTATATCTTGATATATGATATAGACCAATCTCACACTGAAACTCACAAATTTGAAAACCAACACAGGAAACAAGTCGACCGCCGGGCGGACCCCACTCGACTGGGACTCGAGGCTCAAGATCTCGCTCGGGGCCGCACGTGGGCTGGCCCACCTCCACTCGGCCGGCGGCCCAAAACTCGCCCACGGCAACATCAAATCCTCCAACATCCTCCTCCTCACCGCCACACAAGACAGCCACCCGGACACAACCGCAGCTGCCATATCGGACTTTGGGCTGGCCCCACTCATGGCTCACCCGGGCCCAGGCCCATCTACCCGGCCCATCGGTTACCGGGCCCCAGAGGCAATAGAGACACGGAAGCATACCCACAAGTCTGACGTGTACAGCTTTGGAGTGGTCCTTCTTGAAATGCTTACGGGCAAGCAGCCGATCCAGTCTCCGGGCAGGGACGAGATCGTGGACCTGCCCAGGTGGGTCCAGTCGGTGGTGCGCGAGGAGTGGACGGCTGAGGTGTTTGATGTGGAGCTCATGAGGTTTCAGAACATAGAGGAAGAAATGGTGCAGATGCTGCAGATAGCAATGGCTTGTGTGGGGAAGGTTCCGGATTTGAGGCCAGGGATGGATGAGGTGGTGAGGATGATCGAGGAGGTCCGGTTTTCGGACACGGAAAACCGGCCGTCGTCCGAGGAGAACAAGTCCAAGGATTCAAATGTGCAGACACCTTGATTCTTATTAATGAATGTCTTTGTCTTGTCTGATATATTTTTTTTTTTTCCTCCTTTATTCTTGATTTTTAGGGATTCTTGGATGTCATTGGATTTCTTTCTAGCTTGAACTTTTTGTTCGAGGCTTCGTGTAAGTGTGAATTTGTGGATTTTTTTTTTTATTTTTTTTTTAAGTTTTATGGGGATGGAGATGGAGTGCAGGTTTCTTACAAATACTGTTGAGGTGTCTTGTGTTTATTTTTTCTTGTTTACACTAAAAGTTCATTTTTTCTGTAATTTGGAGATTTATATCCAGATTCAAGATTTGCTACAAGGGATGCATGATTTCTTGAATGCCTCGTTTGGTGGTTTAATTACAGCTTGTAGTATGTACGGGCTGAACTATGTAGTAAGCTTTTCGATTATTGGACCCACCTCTTAAACTCCCCCAATTCATAAATCCCTAAAAAGCTTCTGTACATCCCCCAATTCACAAATCCCTTGATCTCAATTATGGATGCATTCTCTTAACCTATAAAACAATAAGCGTGTATATGTATTCGATTATATTGTTTATTTCATTTATCAAGAGCGAGATTTATCCTGATAAGTCAATAGACTCTGAAAATTTTTAATTCGTAGGTCCTTAATTAGAACTTTAAATTTTGTTGCATTATGATTAAATTTTGTAGGATTGAGTTGTGCTCATCGCTCGACGTTCCTCACAAAACTCAACACAAGTACCCTCATACTTGAAAAAAATATTCTTTAAGTGTTTTTGGAATATTTGGCTCTCATCTAATGGATGAGAGTATCACTAGAGGTGGCCACTGACCGTTCGCCTCGCCAATGTGACCTGGCCCCAGCTCGGTCAAGCATGTTGACCACCGGTCTAAGGCCCGACTTATATTTTAACAGGCCGATTCATGGCCATTTTTTTTCGACCCTGGCTCGGCTAACCGGCTGGGTCCTATCTAGCCTGAGAAATAACCATATATTTTCTTTTATTTATTAATATTATTTTTTAGACGAATCTCAAACTCGGGTTGGGTCACCAACCTAGCATGAGCTTAGATAAGGGCCGGTCTGGGTCGCCATTTTTTAACCCAGAGGCCCGACGGGCGTCACGGACCAGGTTAGTCATGTATAGGTGTCACATCTATAGAACCTATTTATTGTATGTTAAGAAAAAAGTCGTGACAAAATTATAAAAACTTGAAAAATATATGTTATATTTAGTATTTTAGGAAAAACCTAACTCAAGATTTAAATATGACAATGAGCAGCTCGAGCCAGGTAGCCCTGAACCTAGACCTAGCCTATCGTCCACCATGGCTCTTGACCCGTTACGGGTCCAATAATTTTGACGCGCAATTTGACTTTTTTTTTTTAACTTTTTTTTTATAAAAAACGGTATTATATGCTGTAATTTATTTATAATATCACGAACTTTACAATATATATAGTAAGATGTAGGAAAATACTACAATCCGATTACGAAATCATTTCGTCAAAATTTATAACCGTTAGATCATCATGTAATCGTCGTGGAAATTGATCTAACGATTACCAATCCCGACAGAACAGAGCTGTAGAATCCCCCAAAGATGCAACAGCGTACTACATGACTATATATACGGTGTTTGGCGAGATGGGTAAATTGGCCAAGGCAGGTTTGATACTCGAACTTGCTTCTTTTACTAGACGAGGCGAATCCAACTTGATTCGTTCGAAAAAAATAGAATTGATTCAACTCTATTGTGGATCGGGTCGGGTCGGTTGGATCCGACCAAATTGCCCCGGTTATCGGGTTTTCCGTTTCCTCTGCAGGGGTAAAATCCTTAAAAAGAAATAGCGTAGATTTCACGCCAAACGACCGGCGGACAAAATTCTAGAAGTACTTTTTACGTGGACCCCACACAGACCTTATTCTCTTCGAATCTGACCTTTTTTTTTTTGGTTCTGAAAATCGCCACCAATTATCTCCCATCTTTACTTGAATTGAATCAGGTGACCAATATTTCTTTTCGAGCTTAATTTTGATGAGAGATTTTGTTTTCATCGATGGTGTTGGTGTATTTTTATTTTATTTTTTGAATAATTTATTATTTTTTTAGGGTTTGGATTTAGCTGTATGAGATTATGAGGATCCCTGCTGATTGTGGTTTTTTGTTGTTGTTGTTGTTGTTGTTGTGAAGGTGAGTAAAGTGCTTGGTGATGGCGTTGGCGTCGAAGAGGATACTGAAGGAGCTGAAGGATTTGCAGAGGACCCTACGACGTCTGGCAGTGCCGGTATGTTTGCTCGTATTCCGTGATACTTCTTGTCTGATATGGACCATGGGCTATGAGTTTGTTTATATTTGTGCTTGTTTAGCTGTAGTTCGAGCAGTTTCGTTTATTTTGTTTCGCAGCTAGGTTAACTGTGATGTGTTAGCTAGTTGGTTTATTCGGGGAGATTGTAATTGTTGCGGTGGTTTTCTGTATGTTTTCGAAGATGAATATTGCTATGTATTGAGTTTGAGATTTGATGCTCGTTTTGGCTATGGTGGTTTATGAATTAGGTTTGTGTTCATATTGCTTGGGACCTTGGGTAGTTGTACACTTGTGCTGTAGATATGCAATATCAAGCATTTAACTTTCGAGTAAAAGTTACTTACAAAAATTACCTGCCATATTTTTCCTAGGTAAAAGATAAACAAAAGTATAATTAACGTTCAAGATTACAATAATCTCGAAAATCTTTGGTTTCTTATGTTTAACCTCTATTATCTAACAAAATTCAGGTGTATTTTTGGTTTCCATACATTTCCCTCCCGATAGCCTTTTAATCCACCGAAGGTATGGTCAATTACACTACTTAGATGTATATTTTGTGCTTTTATTTTTCCTATATTCTCACAAATGGTCAACCGTGCTGCTATGATGATGTTGATTGTAGAAGTCATATAGTTTGGTATGTTTCTGTATAAGGACTCAATCATACTTATTCTAACTTGTGTTATGAATTGGACATCTGGTAGGGTATCAGTTGCAGTCGGCAAGAAAAGCAACTGTAAAATGATAGGCTATTTTATCTTTTAGATGGTTGATATTTAGGGGTATTTAAACTGTTTCTCTCTTCCATGTGTGATTGTTACTAGCGTAATGAGTTGCCATCTAGGTGTGGGAATTGTGGAAGAAAGGCATTATGTTGTACATCTCTGATTCTGCTAAAAAATTTTCTTTTCTTTCCTGAGGCGCATTGGAAATAGCTGTATGTTTTGAAACCAGAACTGAACGTCGAGTTTGACTACCATGTAGTTTTGTATTGTGGTTATTATATTTCATTCATGTGAAGTTGACTCATTCCCGTAGTTAGATGACTTTTAGTTGTTTGTCATAGAATTTTGGCTAGTACTGGCCTGAACTCTGTCTAAATTAACTCTTACATTGTTACTGCTTGCTTTTAGGACGAAGGTATTCCACCCTAACATCAACACCAACGGAAGTCTCTGCCCTGATATTCTGAAAGAACAATGGATTCCAGCCCTGACTATATCTAAGGTTATATCTAGTCCTTTTTATTTGTGTCAGCACTTCACTTTCAAGTATGTAATAAAGAGACTACTCTTCAGTGTTCATGTGGAAAGTTTAGCTTAGCCAATTGTTCATATTGCCAATTAGTGAAACTGAACTATCTTATTAGCCCTGTTATTCTGTACCATTTAATTCATTCCTCTTGTCTTTTCTAAACTATTCTTGGGAGTTGTGTAGTGAGCCATTGCGAGGCTTTTTATCATATGTTGACAACTGTGACTAGAAATTATCTGAAGTATCTTTTATGATTTAAATCAATGACCTTATCGTAGCCCACTGAAACATAAAAACGTGCTTGTCAGGTTATTTATTTTGTCCGTCTCTCATCACAATGTGTTTGTACTTGCTAAAATCATTAAATCACGTGCTGCTTTCTATCTGCTCGTTGCTGGCGGACCCTAATCCTGATGATCCACTGGTGCCAGCAATCGCCCATATGTACAACACCGACAGGGCCAAATACGAGGCTACTGCTCGCAGTTGGACTCAGAAGTATTCCATGGGATGATGTTTGAACTTTGTCATCACCTGACAGACTCGAAAAAACTGCACGGACTTCTGTGTGTTTTCATTTGTGCTTGGTTGGAAAATAATAACTATTGCTATGCTAATCTGCTTATAGTTGTTGACTCGTGGTTGTTTAAGCTGTGGCTGTACTTCAATCTGCCACTTTGCTGAATATGCATAATTTGGAGACTGGTAAAGAGAATCCTATATCGTGTGTTTCTTGTGAATGTTGTGTTTGGTGTTTGGTTGTGTTATGAGTCGCAGTAGAAAACATATTGGATACCCTTTATAGAAATCTTAAAAATGTGCCGGTTTAGTACCTTTTTTTGGTTATGAGTTTATGAATATTGTCGTCTATTGTTATTGTTGCTCCCTGATTGTATTCATATCAGGTAGATTTCTGCATTATCATCCATTATCAGGGTAATCGAACTAACTATCGTGAAGTGTGATTTTCGAGTTAGTTGATATTTGACTAACGAATTACGTACACTAGTATATCCCAAATGTATTGGACAGACTTATGGAAGATGAGATTATTTTATACTCACCAAGTAAATAATCTAGATCTCGATAATTGATGCATTCCCTTAACCTGTAAACCAATAAACGTACATATGTATTCGATTATTATTTATTTCATTTACCAAGAGCGAGATTTATCCTGATAAGTCAATAGACTCGTAAATTCGTAAGTCCTTAATTAGAACTGTAGATTCTGTTGCGTTATGATTAAATTTGTAGGATTCAGTTGTGCTCATTGCTTGATGTTCCTTACAAAACCCAACACAAGTACCCCATACTTGAAAAAAAAAACATTTTTTGGAGTATTTTTGGGACACTTGGCTCTCATCCAATGGATGAGAGTGTCACTAGAGGTGGCCACGGGCCGTCTGGCTCGCTGACACGACCCAACCCCAGCCTGATCAAGCATGTTGACCATCGATCTAGGCCCGACTTAGATTTTAACGGGTCGATTCAGGGCCATGTTTTTTCAATTCGACTCAGCGGACCGGCCAAGTCCTATCCGGCCCGAGAAATCACCGTATAGTTTGTTTCATTTATTATTATTTATTTTAGACGGGTCTCAGACTTGGGTCGTATGCATCAAAAGGTCGTGTACGGTTCCTTAGGGGCCCGGCCCAGCCCCCTGAGTCACCAACCTAGCACGAACATAGATAAGGGCCGGTGAGGGTCGCCATTTTTTAACCCAGAGGCCCGACGAGCTGGGTTAGCCATGTGTAGGTGCCACATCTACAAAAATATTTACTGTAGGTTAAGAAAAAAGTCGTGACAAAATTATAAAAACTTGAAAAATATATACTCTAATTAGTATTTTAGGAGAAACCTAGTTCAGGGTTAAATATGACAATGAGCAGCTCGAGCCAAGTAGCCCTGAACTTAGGCCTAGCCTACCGTCCACCATGGCTCTTGACCCATTATGGGTCCAATAATGTTGACTCGCGATTTGACATTTTTTTTAATTATTTGTTTTAGAAAAAACGGTATTATATGTTGTAATTTATTTCTAATATTACGAAGTTACAATTATTTAGTAAGATGTAACAATGTACATTATCAATACATAACTACATATACGGTGTTTGGCGTGATGGGTAAATTGGGCGAAGGCAGGTTTGATACTCGAACCTGGACGAGGCGAATCCAACTTGATTCGTTCGAAAAAATAGAAATATAGAATTGATCAAACTCTATTGTTAATCGGGTCGGGTCCGAGTCGGTTGGGTTCCGTTTCCCTGCATGGGCAAAATCCTTAAAAAGAAACTCAATCGCTATTCACCGCCCCCCTTTTACTAGTCACCGCCCCCCCCAATTACCTTTTTGCCCTTAACCCTTTTTTTGATTTCATCTCTCTAAACTTTCTATCTCTCTAAACTTCCGAACTTCAACGAACGATTCGAGCGTCAAAAAAAATCCAAAAAAATGTCGAAAAAATTCTACGGCCTCGGCAAAGGATTCTTCTCCAACAAGGTAATTTTTTTTTTTTTTTTTTCGCCGGAAGTATTTTTAAAAAATTTTTTTTTGAACCTGCCGAACCGGCCGGCCGTCGGTTCCGGACGGACCACAGGTTGTCCGGTCGGCCGAACCGGCCGGCTTTTGGTCCGTCCGGAACCGACGGCCGGACGGACCCCGGCCGGTCGCGAGCCGGCCGGACAAAAATCAATTTTTTTTTTTTTTTTTTTTTT